TACACTTACAATGTGCATTAAAGTGTAAGTTCACTTTCCCAGGTAATATGGGAAAATGGAATAACCCAATCAAATCTGGGCCGGTCTCTCCCAAGACCCCCACCGGCTATACTTACCTTTCGGCGAACAGTCCTTACCCTCCGCCAGTACAGGTGTACTATTTGTACCCTGTACTGCTGTCCAGCGCAGTCCTGCCCTATGCATTTGGAATTTCACTCGCAAGTTGCAAGCACTCATTGGTCAGCATGGTCAGGTGACCACGCTGACCAATGAGAAGCACTATTTAGCACAGCCAAATACAGTTTTGATTAGGGATGCACCGATACAGAGTACTTGCCCAAATGCTCCGATACCGGAACTTCCGGTCAGAGGAAGATTTCCTGATTGGCCGGGAAGCTGGCTCGATGCTGATGGGCTGGGAAGTGGGTTCCCCGGCCAATCACAATCAAGCCGACCAAACAACATGGAGTTGGATTCCCTGGCTATCAGGAAGCAGGGATGTCATTACCTGCTGCCCGGCTTCCTGCTTGCCTAGGAAGTCTGCTCCATGCCAACGGAAGCATCGCTATCGGTACGCGGTATCAGCGAGTATTGAAAGCAAAATATCTGTACTCATACTTGATACCCAAAAACTGGTAACGGTGCATCCAGAGTTTTGATTAAAACTATTTATTTTTTTATTGGCACAAGTAGATTGGCATGAGGGACAAGTAGATTCGGCGCCAGTTTTAGCCCTTGGACAAGTAGTTGTTTTTTTTTTAATTTCCACAACCCTGGGTAGGGGCATGGTCCGAGAGAGTAATCTGACCTATTTCTGCGCCAGATACAGAAGGCAACACTGCATGTTTGATCAAAAAGAAATCAATGCACAAATAAGAGTCATGAACCGCAGAGTAGTATGTAAAGTCCTGTTCCCTAGGGTGAAGCACTCTCCACACATCAAGTAATTGAAATTTGTGTAAGATATTATGGTTTCGGTTGTGCAATGCCGGAGACATGTGAGAAGCACCTAAGACCAGTGAACCCTCTGCAAACTCCTCCAATCTGTCCAGGAGAGATTCCAAAAAAGTCTGGTTAACATTTGAAAGATAAACATTTGCAAGGGTAAAAACTCGAGATTGGATCTTGCCTTTTAAAAGTAGATACCTGGCTTCCTGGTCAGAATATTGGTCTAACAATTGCCAGGGTATGGATTTGGACAAAAGTATGCTGACTCCCTTCGATTTGGAAGAAAGGGAAAGATTATGGTACAATGTAGAAAAATTATGGTTTTGGAGCCTGGGAACAGCATCCATTTTGAGGGTCATGTTGAAAAGGCGAGGAGAAGGCGGAGAGAAGAGGTGAAAAAGGAGAGTAAGAAGAAAGAGGAGGAAAGAAGAAGGAGGGGGCAAAAGAGAGGAAAGGAGAGAAGGGGGAACAAGAAGAAATAAAGCAAGGAAGAGAGGAGGGGAAAAGCAAGTTGCAAAGATGCACAAGAGAAAAAACATCAACAAAAGGAAAAAAGGGGAGGAGAACTAAGTCTCTAAACTAAATCCCTTCAACCCTACAGCGAAGGGCTAACCTAGTTGGGAGAGTAGGGAGGCACTTCCAAGTTCAGCACCAGGGCCAGCAAAGGTAAATGCAGCATAGTAAATGAAACAACAGTTGCAATATATTCAAACAACAGGAGAAAGAAAACAGCTGACAGCTGTTCAGGAGACCAATGATAAATGGAGGTCCCAAAGATAACATAAAGAAGGGGAACTAAGGCAGGCCAATCAGCTGTGAGCCAACGGTAACCTAAGGTCAAGCAGTTATTTATATAGGGGAGGCTCCCCCAACATCACCATGACAAACTGACAAAATGGCATAGCTAAAAAAATTAAAAAGATATAAGTAGTAGTACCATTGGTCAAACTCAGGCTAACTAATCCATGCCCGACCTCCCCCTATCCACCCCAGAGGGTCCACCCCAAGACCCCCAATATGTAGGTCTCTACCGGGCCCCCCGCAGGATGGAAAGCGCAGAGGCTAGCTAGCCACCGCCTGCTCCACTGCCCCTGCTCATGGAGCAACGGAGGGAGCAGTGTAAAGAGACCACATATGGTATATAATGGTAAATACACAGCAAAGGTTATCTAATCCACAAAATTTGAAAAAATGAAAAAAAACAACAAGCTGGAGTCCCAGGGAACAGGAAAAAGAGGGATCAGGCGACATCGCAGGCTGCCGGCCATAAGGGGAGGCTGCAGGCGCCATCTTAGGTGTAGACGCAACAGGCCCCGACGGCGGCAGGAAGCGATCTATGGCGGTATCAGGTTGGGCGGAGGAATGTCCCTCGCTCTCATTCCTCCCCGGCGTCATTGTAAGCAGCTTTTTCTGATAGGTACAGCTGTCAAGTTACTTGTAATGGCTGCAGGCCGGGGAGCTCAGCAAATGTGCGGCTTCACTCATCCATGCCAAAGCCACACCCCCTATTATGCGAGTTCTAAAGGTAATAAAAGGGGGTGAATACATATGCACGCACAACTTTTGTTTTTTACAATTAAAAAAAAAAACACTTTTTGACTATTTTGTGTATGTCCATTAAATGTAACCCAAATAAAAAAAATTTCATGACTGTTGCCTACCCAAGCTGAAACTTCTGCCACTCCCATACTTCCTCCGCACCAGCAGTCCTTCTGCAATGTTTTTTTGCAACTCCCCCCTCACCGAGCATCCAACCCACTGATCTCCTGCCAAGAACCTCAGCTCCCTATGGCCTGGTCTATCCTCTCTCCATTCCCAAAATTTGGGCTATGTCTGAGTACATCCAGGAAAACCTGCAACAAGGGTTCATGAGGAAATCCAATTTGCCAATATGAGCCAGGTTTTTCTTTGTTAAAAAGAAGGATAGTTTGTGTCGACTTTGCAACAATTATAGAGGCCTTAATGCCATCATCGTCAACAGCAACATCCCTTTCCCTTGATTTCAGAACTCTTTGACAGACTATCGGGTGCTCCTGTCTTCTCCAAGCTGAATCTTAGGATCTGTTTAGAATCGAAGAAGACGACCTTCAAACACCAGGGACATTGTGTGATGCCCTTTGGTTTATGTAATGCCACAGCTGTCTTCCAAAACTTCCTTAATGAGGCCCTCCACAATCTGTTATGTACTTCTGTTAAAGTAGACCTTAACAACATCCTTATCTTCTCTCCTGACATGGACACTCACTACCTCTAAGTGAAAATGGTGCTGCAGTGACTTTGAGACAACTGCCTCTTTGCATAGTTGGAGAAATGCCTCTTCGAACAAACCCAAGTTTAATTCCTACATAATCATGGATCAGGGTCAACTCATGCATCTGACCAAGCTCTGAGCCATTTCTGACTGACCACAGCCCTCTGGACTAAAAGCCACTCAACACTTCTTGGGGTTCACCATTTATCAGTTTATTCAAAAAACGTTTATACTCTTGTGGCCCCTATTACATCACAAAATGTAAAGGCACCAATGCAAGGTCCTGGCCTCCCAAGGCCATTGAAGCTTATCATAGACACAAGGCAGCCTTTTCCTTTGCTCTCATTCTCTAACATCTGGACATAACCAAACCCCTTTCTCTGGAAGTTGATGCCTCCTCAGTAGGTGTCAGAGCTGCCCTACTTCAGGCTTCCAAAAGCAAGCCTCTGCCATGTGCATGTTTTTACAAGAAGTTTTCTGATGCTGAAAAAAACTACCATTTGGGACTGTGAGCTTTTGGCTATTAAACTTGCAAAATAAGAGTGCCAACATCTTTTAGAGGGTTCACCTCATCACCATCTACGCAAACCATATAAACTTGCAATATCTGCAATCTGCTCTGCGCTTGAACCCCCAACAAGCTCAACAGGCTCTGTTCTTCCCTTGGTTCAATTTTGACATTTCGTTTTCACCAGGAGCCAAAATCATCTGTGCTGACACCTTGTCCAGGTTCTTTTATGTTGCCAACTGGAAGAGTCTTCATCTTTTAATTCTTCATCTGCCGGCTTTCAGGTATAAAGCATTGGTGGATCATTATCATCCTAGTCCTGAAATTGGCCCCCACATTTCATCAGGCCCTTCCCAATCCTCTAGCAAGTTAATCCAGTTATTTTAGGCTCTGCCTGCCTCCTCATCTTAGAATCCTCAATGACTTTCACGTCTCCCTTCTCAAAATCCTCAATCACATCTCTTGTTCTTCTCCTCACCCTTCTCCTGTAGCTGATACCACAGATCAGTATGAAGTCAAACAAATATTGTATTCCAAATACTCTAGGGGGAAGCACCTTTATTTAACTGATTGAGAGAGTTATGGCCCGGAGGAGAGAATTGGGTTTCTGCCACAGATATCTCAGCTCCACATTTAGTAAACACCATTCATCAGAAATGTCCTTCCACGCCAGCCCTGGATAGGTAGGGGGACCTCATAAGTGCCTAGTGGGTGTTGTTCTTACCTCCTTGCTGCTGCAGTTCTGCTGGTACCTATGGTTCTTGCTTACTTGCTGCACAGAGCTAGCAACTATGAGTATCACTGCCACACATTTTTCATTCAACTCTGCTGCTTAATTGGTACTTCTCCATTCAACCGTTACATAGGCCAGTACCTATCTTTTCCACGTGACCTGCACTTCTCTATTGTCCCTAATCAGCGGGATGACATCGCTCCCAAGTTACGGTAACACCGATATCTCACCATCAGCACTAATGCCACTACTTTATTGCTTCATTCCCAGCCCAGGGGTATTTGGACTGGAACAGTAAGACTGGCCATTGTCACCATCTCATGCTCTGCTTTCAAGTATGTGATAATACGCTATGGCAATATATTAACAATATTAAATTACTAAACAGCAAAGGCTTAAAATATTTATTAACCTTTATTTTTTTTTTAAAACAAACATTTTAATACCACTTCCTATATTCAATACCAGTTACATTCATCTAAATATGTTACTGATATACCAGTAACAATTTACTAACTGTAACATATATAATTTATTTGGTACCATAACACAAGACTTACACTCCACTGTGACGATGTATTTGTGGCGGACTTCTCCCTCTGAGTTCTTGGCAATACACTCGTACTCTCCATCATCATCTTCATTCACATTTTCAATACGAAGGATCTTCTTATATTCATCAAAATGAAGGCGACTAGGGTCCATATTGCCAGTGAGAGACAGCCACTCAATGTCTGGGGTAGGGCTATCCATACAGAAAAGATGAAAAGAAAATGTGAGATTATGAAATAAAAGTATAATTTAGGGAGTCCTCCATGTACAGTATTTTATACTGGAATGTAAAACTATACTCTCAATGTTTGTAAAGCTTATAGGCTGCTGGGTATAAACTCCTCAATGGCCATGTCACTTTCTGCAGTATGATGCGCTGCATTTTATAATGTTATTTTGTCCAAAATGGATTACCTTGGTGGATCCATTTTTTTTTTAATTTTGGGGATTTATTTTTTTGTATTAAAAAGGACTTTTTATTACAAAACTTTTCTTGTTTTTTTTTTTCAATTAAAGGATTTTTTACCAAAATGTTGTGTGTTTAGTTACCTGCAACCCTTTAGTGAATGATTAGGGGTACAAGCCTTACTCATTCACAGGGGGGAAGCTGCACCCCCCTGGTGAATGAATGTTCTCGGCTGAAGTGTATAGCCGAACAGCCTTCGGCAGCTTAGTGAATACTCCCATAGGTGTCCTAAACTATGAGCAAAATCCTTTATTTATCAATCAAGCTGTTCTGCAAAAGTGACAGTTACAGGAATTCCCAGACTCATCTGATAAATAATCAGATCAGCTGCCAATCAACCACCAATCAGCCAGCGGGGCACATTGACTGCAGTAAATTAGATAAAAGTACAGCTGTCTGTAGTTCACATTGGAGAGTGGCAATCATGTTGCACATTGGCAGATGGGATCGTGCTATTAGAAAAAAGACCTCGGAGAGCAGGAATTGGAAGTATCAGTTATACAAGTGATGCATATTTTTTAAGGGTATATAGCCCACCACACTGCAATCCACAGTATAACATTATAAAGTACTGTAAAGTACAGTATAGCACTGTAGAGCAGAGTATGTCTACCTACACTCTCCCTGCACAGATTTGTCAGATTTCCCTAACCAGCAACAACACAAACTCTCTGTGGATGCTGTGAATCCACGCTTTTATAGTGAGGAAACTAGCTTATCCATTTCTTCAGAATTTTGGCTTTTCGATACCCATCTGAGCCAGTGACAAATATTACACAGTAGAAGATGGGTTGGGGGGACGCATTTTGGGCCATAAATTCTGAATTTGGCTAAACAGCGAAACCAGGAGATCTACCTCCAAACCCAAATCCCATCCCTACTGATGACCAACAAGCCTGAAACAATTGTGTGCAGTTTAAAATAAATGGTTCTATAATAGGCTTTACCTGTGCTACAAACCAGCAGTTCTGGATGCACAGTAGGCAAAAGATTTAGAAAGGATTTATTTTTTTGCAGGCAAACACATAAAAACATGTCAACATATGGTGTAATATACATGTGGCTGCCTGGGTGCATATTTATGTGCCTGGATATGCATTATAGCACCCATTAGAACAGTGGTTCTCAACCTGTGTAACCTCAGGACCCACATTTGTCCTTGGTCATTAAGTTGTGACCCAAGTCGCACCGCATTGCGGTACCACGAGTTCCGGTGCGGGCGATCGAACTGTGGGTGGGGGGTGTGTTTAAGGTGCCATAGAAATGAATGGCAATGCAACACACCTCCCGCACCAGAATGGGTGGTAGGTGCGATTGTGTGGTAAGGTGCGTTATTCACACGGAACTGTGTAATTAATGCACTCTACTAGTGTGGACGGGCCCTAAAAAACACTGACAGACACACACAACCACAGACACAATCTCACACACACACACACACACTCCACACAAAAACATTTTATTTTTTAAATATTTTGAATGGCTGCTTGCTGTGAGAACTGACAGTGCTGCCCTAGGGGGAGGCTAAGGAGCCTCTCACCTAGAAAAGTGGAAGGCATGCGGTGACCCACTGAACATGGGGTTGCGACCAACTTTTGGGTCACGGCCCACCAGTTGAGAACCAAGGCATTAGAAAACACTGCAGTACCCATTACAATGCATATCAACACTATTTACATTGATTCAATAGAAAATGCATCTGCCAAAAAATGTATAGGTGTGGATGGAGTTTTATCAACATTTTAAGAGGTATCAGACTGAAAGAACATTTCTCCTATGCTAGTAGCTCAATTTCATCTCTATCATATTGTCGTTATATTATTTTTTATCTATTATTTTAGCAACTGTAATGATTAAGAAATAACCAGGAGACTGAACCTGACAGTCTAAGACAGGAGGCTAATGTGTATGCAGTTGCCCCTAGCAACGCAGGGGAGAGTTCCTTGGAGCCCACAGGGGGCACCAAAGATGAGTGGACAAGGTCAACACATGAAGTTAACCACGGTGCCTGAGAGGGGTGGTAAGACTGGCATTGCTGAATTGTTTGCTGGTACTGTGTGCCCTATAGTCAAAGAGATTGACTCTAGCTTTGTGTGTGAGCTGGGAGTAACACCAGTAGAGCGGCCCATGGGTCACTTTATGAGAGACTTGCCTTTGCTCAGTATACAGGAATATGGAGAGGCAAGAGTTAAAAATGCTTGTGATATTGTTGATGTAATAATTGTCAAAAATGCATGTCGGGATGAAAATGCGTTGTTTGCAACCAGGGTGGGTGCAACAGAAATATCCTCGGAAATCTCGGAAGGGCTCAAGAGCGTGGAGCCAGAGATTCCACAGGGTAATTGTGGTGCCGGTATGACGGGTCACAGTAAAGTGTTGATGCCAGGGTTAATTGCAGACTCGACGGCTCAAAATGTGGATTATTCGATAATGCCATTGATTATAGTTGAAGGTACACAGTTTAATAATGAAATTGCTGGAAAGTGTACTCGGCGTAATGTTCAGCTGGGTGATGTAGTGCCACCAGCTCAGAATAGTGCAAATGTGGTAAAACTGCAGGGTGTGTATGAACACAAGGACACCCCATCGGTTATGGTAACTGAGGAATTAATGCTTACCACACAGCCTTTGGTGTCTCCTTGGAGGGAGCTATTGGAACGATGGGATACCTTTGATGGGAGCCCAGACTGCATAGACTGGGATCAGTTGCTCAAATGTTTGTTGCCTCTAGGGGGAGATATATTGTCTGAGACCCCAGAGATAAACAAACATGAGGTATTGGTAAACAAAATGTAATCAAACATAAAACATGTACTGATGGTAAATGGTGAACCTGTGTTAGATGGTGACGGGACACACAATATTTCTGCTGTGCCAGAAGGGTTGGCTGCTAATCAGCTGGTAGAAGAGGGTGCGAATGCGGTGTCAGCTGCTATGATTCACCAGGTGGATGGGCCAAGTAATAGTAAGGATGCAGCCGAAATTTTGTCCGAAACCCAGGACAGGGTTAAAGTTGATCTGGGTGGCACTAAGGAGCGACAGCCATTGGCGCAGTTGCTAGGAGAAATGGGGAACAATGAAATTGCCGGAGAAGAGGAACACTCCCAGGGGTCTGGTTCCTCTACAGATACTGTGTTGTCCTACGATGATATGGATAATGGTAACAGTGGAGAAATATATACTGAAATGAAAAATTGTAAGAGTCTGGTTCCTACAACAAATCACATAAATGCTGTTTTATTGGAACATGGGGTTTTTGTGTTGGACTGTGGAGTGGTGAACATATCCACTGGCCTAGACAAGGGGGCTGCTGGACACTTTTTGGACCAGGGGGCGTGTGTTGCAGCAGCAGGTTTCCCTCTAGAGCCGGAAGGGCCGAGACCGAAAAGAAGGCCAGTGGAAATGTCACCTGTAACCAAAGAGAGGGTTAAAAAGGATATGGGGAAAATGCTAGAAGGTACTGATGTAATGGCAATGATGAATGTGATGCACGTACAAACTGACAAAGGTGTTACTATAATAAAGCCAGAGGGGTTGGTTGCTGGGAGCAACAACACCAAAACTGAATGGGTCAGTAACGAGGGAATGGTGTTTAGAAAATTCCCAAATGACGAGGACTTGAGTCTTGAATGGGGTGAGCTGACCGAATGGGTCAATGGGAAGTCTGCTAGTGTCCCCAAAGTGATTGACGGGGTTAGCGTAACGGACTGCCAGGAGTTGGGTAGTGACAATCCCCATAGTGGTGACAGTAGAGAGACTGCTACCTGGTTGACTTCAACTGTCTCGGTAGAGACCGATAAAGGCTATGTAAAAAAGAGGAAGGATGTGGGCCCGAAGAAAGAACAATGTTATGGGTGGAAACGCACACGTAAAAAGACCGTACTGGGTCCACTTAGTACCTCCAATAGTGTAGTGGAGTTGGGATTCCCCTTTATGGATGACGGACTGTTTGGCAAGACCAGAGACAAAAGGGAAACGTTTTTGAAAGGTGTCAGATGGTCAGACGGTTTTTGTCTGTGTGTCCGCTCCTCCGGATGCGAACAAAGGATTCCACAATGTGAATACCTTTGTAGAGGAGAACTGGCTGCTCAGTTCCTTCCAGGTTTTCCGGACTATAGTGGGATGGGATCTCCAGTACTGGGGCCAGGTGTTGCCAGTGGCCAGGTTGGGCTGATCAGGTGGCACACGGCTACAGGCAGATGCTGCTGCGTGCGTGAGCACAGGTGACACAGTCAGGAAGGCTGGAGAGGTCCAGAGGGTCGGTGACCCTGAGATACCTGTCAGAGAGACAGAGGGACAGTTACCCACGAGGGTGAATACCAAAAGTCTTGGAGCTGGGGAAAGCTGTTGAGGATGGCATATCCAGGGAAAGTCCTGGGACTATAACACTGGGAGTGTATGGGACAGCCAGATGTCGGTGAGACCAAAACATGATGTGTTATTGAAAGGTCCAATGAACTGTTATGCTTTGTTTATGCTGAAGAAAAGCAAGTTATGTTGTGACGTTCATGGACTGTTGAACTTTTGATGAATAAAGACTGTCCTTTTATGTTAAAGTCGGCTTCAGGAGTGGTCACTTAGCGCTTACCATTGTGCTATATTCCCCAAACATCAATATATATAAATTTATTTTTAATGGGGATGCACAGATAAAAAAAATGTGCAGACCAAGTGCAAGTACATACCTTTGCTTGTACTGTGGGAACTATGGGCACTTGCTCATCAATGCTCGTCATTTCACTACCCGGAAGTTGGAGCAGAGCGGCAGATGGGAGCTAGCACGCACGCACACGACAGCGTGAGTGACGAGTAAGAGGCGAGGGACGCCGAGAGAGGCAGGGTGCCGTGAGAGGCGGCGGGACCGGAGCCCGGGGGACGGCGAGACCAGAGCCCGGGGAGTCGGCGGGAACCGTTAGTATTTATAAAGTATTACAGTACTATCACAGTGCAAAAAATAAATAAAAATAAATGAATAAATAAAATAAATCCAACCCCTAGGCGCTAGTGCAATTTAATTAAATTTCATTTAATATAATTTAACCGCAGGGCAGTGTGTAAGCTAACCACTGGAAGATAGTATAACTTATTCCATGGTGGTGGTATAAATTAAATTTAGTTTAACAAACAAGTTATTGAACGTGCCACTTGTGAACCACTAAACCTTAGATAAATAAATACAAAATAAGTAGTGTCTATTTACATAAAAACAATATAAAAGTAAATAGATAAATAAATAGATATATAAATAAAATAATGTCTTCCATGAGTTGGTATGCAACCAGGTGCATGTCGTGTGCAATGTATGCGTTCCTTGAACATGCGTTCGAGGGGGGAATACATTTGCGCTAGATGTGAGCGAGTTGCTTGTTTGGAAACCCAGATTCTGGATCTAAGCAAGAAACTGGCAACACTAAGGAGCATAACAGTCATGAAAAAGAGTCCAGACATAACGCACCAGGCTGTGGTGGAGGGGGGTCTGGATGAGAAGGGGGGGTCGGAGGAGCAGGATCCCGAGGTGGGGAGCTGGGTTACTGTTAGAAGGCGGGGGAGAGGGAAGCCTTGATCTGGTTCACCCCAATAAGTATGCCAAGTTGCATGATGTTGGGGATACCAGTTCAGGGGGGACACTGCTGGACAGGACGCATCCTCTATCCGCAGATGGAGTGACTGCTCCGGCGAGGAGGGGAGTCGGATGGAGGGTCAGGAGAGGCAGATCCTGGTGGTGGGAGATTCCATCATCAGGCGGACTGACAGGATAATCTGTCATCGGAACCGTGAGCGTCGAACAGTGTGCTGCCTACCGGGAGCCCGTGTTCAACACGTTGCGGAGCGAATTGACAGATTACTAGATGGGGTTGGGCACAGCCCAGTTGTCATGGTGCACATCGGCACCAATGACAAAATAGGAGGAAATGGTTGACGGAAAGCGGGATACAACAAAGACTTAAAATGCTCAATGCAAATAAAGCAGTGGGACCAGATAACCTGCACCCCAAGGTACTTAGGGAACTAAGCCAGGTTATAACAAGACCATTATTCCTAATTTTTAAGGAATCCTTAGTGACTGGTAATGTGTTGTCTATTTACCCGACGTGACCCGATATTTTATATTTTACCAAAAAACTGGGTAAAAAATGTTTCCTAACATAATGTAAAAAAAACTTTATTTTTCCAAAATTTTCTGTAATTTTTCCTAATTATAGTAAACAGAGCTATGATACAAGGCTACTGAACTTAAACATGTTCACACTGGAATTAAGGAGATTAAGGGGGGATATGATTTTCATGTACAAGATGTTCAATGGTGACAGCAACATTGGCAACAAACTGTTTAAGATTAACTCAATTACAAAGACTAGAGGCCACCACCTAAAGTTGCTGGAGAAAAAATTCCAGCACAATGGGCGAAGGGGGTTCTTTACAGTAAGAGCGGTTAAGGTCTGGAACTCACTGCCTACAAGTACTCCTAAGAATGAGATGAAACATGGACCTATAAACATCAGCAATAGGTTGGACTTAATGGACGTATGTCTTTATTCAACCCCAAATGCTATGTAACTATGTACAAGTTACTGATACTTTTTTTTTTTTTATTGCCATGTGACAGTTTTTCTAAAACAATACAGACTAATGATTTCAGGACAGTGGTGGAGTGCCAGGGCCAAGTTGCAGCTGCAACCCTGGTGAAAATACCAAGTATCGGCACTGGTATCTGAACTGTTATCTGTGCACCCCTAGTTTCTACACAACTAACTTTAAGGTTAACGTACACACGTGTCAAGATCATAAGTCAGTCAACTCCCCTATGTATTTTTGCATTTTTACTGCTTTGACTTGCTTCTGATTTGTTTCTTATCTGCTTCAAATTAGCTTATGAGTTGATTCAATCTGCTTCTGGGTTGCTTTCACATTTGTCTTGTAAAGCGAAGCAAATCAGATCTAAAAAATGTTTGTGTACACATAAAAAGTGTTATCAGTTAATATGAGCCATGCTGTGTATGTCCACCCCCACTGCATTACCATGACTGTTATAAGATGGAAACCTATTACAGGCATATAAAGGTTTGGAGTTTTGTTTTTTTATCCTAAATTCAAACTAGCTACACACAGATGTTAATTTTTTTTTAACCTTGCATGATTGATTATGAATGCCATTCAGTGCCCATAAAGTGTTTTTCTATAGTTTGAATGTTTTTCCCTGAAATTAAATTTGGTTATGTTATGTGGCAGTAAGATAAACAATTCTTGTGGAATGATTCTTCAAACTTGTTTGGCTACAATCTCTGCATCCTGATATTGTAGCAAAATCACAGCACTTACAGTCCTTGGGCTATACACTCTAACTGCAGAGGCATTCCTTTTAGTGCCAAGTAGTGGCTCGTACTGCCTGTAGGCATCATCATTTTAGGTTTGCGGAACTTCACAGAGTTAGCTGAAAGAAGAATAAGAATGTTATTAGAAATTAAAAAGAAATCACATCTTCAATATTTTAAAAATCACCTACAAATTCATTTGCAGCTTTTAAAACCAGTCACCACCAGCAGTTTTCCATATCTCTGTATATATTCACAGAGTACCAGTCTTGCCACTCTCCGTTCTGCCCTAACATTGACTAGTCGCTGACGGCCACAATTTGCACGTTCAGACCCAGATTTTTGGCGGACAGTCCAGTCTTTAAACACTTTAACAACAGCTGCTCTTGAACATTTAACGAATTCTGCTGTTTTGCTGATACTCGCTCCATGGCTCCGAGCGCCAACAATCATCCCCCGTTCAAAGGCTGTTAAAATGCGTCGTTTACCCATATCTTCAGGAAAAAATAACTTCTACTGTCGTGGTAAACAACCTGCTTCCCTATTTATAATGGTCTGGCCCTCTAGCAACTTCAGCACGAAATTATAGCTAATTATAGCTAATTTGCCTACAAACGTCAGGTCGTCATAATAATCTGGCCACTCAGTATAAACTCACTGTGCCTGTCATATATCCCTTACTTCTTTCTCTCATTCTCTCCACCTTCCCTTCTGCCTCTTTTCTAGACCATAGTTGGGGGGGGGGTACAGATTCATATAAGGGACACATTTTTTACACGACCAGTTATCTTGTATTTTTCAATATTGAAACCATGTCGCTGAAAATACTTAGTCTGAATACACAATGTCTAAACTCCCCAAACAAAAGAACCAAAGCGTTTCGCTTTTTCAGATCCTCCCATGCTGATATAGTTTGCATTTAGGAGACACATCTCTCCTCCAATGCAGCTGCAGCTGCCACTTCCCGCACATTTACATGGCCAATGCCCCATGCAAACGTAGAGGGGTTTTGATTGTATTTAGCAATAAAATGGTAAATCTAGTGACTTTAGTAAGTCAATATTTACCATCTGTGATCCAGCGGGCAGATACCCAATTTGTGTCATACTGTGACCCAACAAAACCAACTTCCCCTATTTTTTTTCCATAAATTATTTTATTGAGCAGAACAAATAAGGATCACACAGAGCACATACTAGTTCGTAACCAACATTCAGGTGGTGGACGCAGCTACCGTAAAACACACATGTGGGACAATTACGCATGGCATAAAATACAGTAAATTGCATAGCGGGGGCAGTCGACAGTGGACACCACTATCCCCCGCCGACCGCCTCGCAGTCGGGTATGTGACGAAGTGCTAAGAGAGTGCATACGGTTATAATTCTATGTCTGACGCGTCCACTGTGTAGTCTTACAGACTATATGCTCATGAGCTTCCAACCTGGGTCGGCAGGGCCTTCCAGGCCACCCGCTTGCACCAAAAACTGAACAGAAAACACAAAATAGGAAAGGCACAAAAGGGAGAGTAGGGGGGAAGAAAAGAGGGTAGAGAGAAGGAGAGGGAGGGTAAAGAGAGAAGTGCTTCCTCTGAGAACTCACCCCCAGGAGACCCATATATTCCTGAGTAGCGGCAAACTCGTCCCACCAATACCACGTATTACAGAACCGGGCCACCGTTCCCCTGAGGGACCTGGTAAGGTCCTCCATGTGTCTGATATCATTAATCTTGCTAAACCATAGCTGGATGGTGGGAGGAGAAGCCTGCTTCCATAGGACAGGGATACATGTGCGTGCCACATTGACAAGGTGGATGATAACTGAATTTCTATATCCCAGGGGGCGGGAATTGTAGTGGAGAAGAAAAAAGAGGGAGATTTTGGTACCCTGGTGTTCAGAGTACCGCACCTGAGTCCAGAACGACTGCAGAGGGGGGTGGTGTATTGGTACCATCGGGTCCGGGTCAGGATTTTGTATCTCGATTCCTGATATCTATTGCAAAGGATTTCAAGGATAGCAGTAGTAATTTAGATTTCTCCAAGGGCGAGAAGGAAACCTCCAGACCCCGTTCCCATCTGTCGAGGAACGGCAAGGGCATGTCAATATCAGAAGTGAGTAAAAACTGGTAACATAGGGAAAGGGTTTTGGACAACGTACCTGTAGAGACACATTCCCTCTTGAAGCCCGTGAGTGGTCGGGCTATGGAAACTGGGCACGGTAAGGAAGACAGGAAGTGGGCTAGTTGGTAGTGGCGCCAAAACTCCAATGGTGCCAAGATGGTGTCGTCGGTAATCTCAGATACAGAAGGCCATTTGGGCCCCCGGAGAAAGTGCGGAGCCCTGCACTGTCTGCGTTCACCCAGTAGTAAAGAAGCAGGATCCTGCAGTCTAGGGGTGAAATTGGGGGAGCTTATCACCGGGAGAAGGAGAAAGGTGTTTAGTGTCAAAGAGTAGGCGTGCAGTCTTCCATGTCAGTCCCAGCGTCGGGTGAGACCGAAGCGCCATAGGAATTTTGGGGAACCAAGGGAGTGCCCTGAGAGGGAGTAAGGAAAAGGACTGTTCCAAGGACACCTACGGTTGTTGGGTAGCGTGGCGACAGCAATCCAAAATGCGTGCTAAATGAGCAGCCTCATAGTAGTAATGAATATCGGGGAGAGCCAAACCCCCAAATCATTTGAGAAGGTGCAGCATTGAATGTCTCAGTCTGATCGGCTTAGAGCCCCACACGAATTTCGAGATCAGAGATTGGACAGACGTAAAACATCCTCTGGGGATCGAGATGGGGAGCGCTTGTATGGGATATAGCAGTCTAGGTAGGATGTTCTGCTTGATGACATTACACCTACCCGTCCACAAGAATGACAATCGTGACCAGTCCTGGAGATCCGCTTTTTTCTTTTTATCTGCTGTAGTAGGGGGAGGTCATTTAAAGAACAGGTGTCGGCCAAGTTGCTCGGGAGCTGAATGCCAAGGTTTTTAAGAAAGGTCGTGGACCACCAAAATGGGAAATTACTACAAAGGCACTGGACATGAAAGGCAGGTAAGGTGAGGTTCAAGGCCTCGGATTTTTGGCCATTGATGTGACAGTTCAATAGATCTCCATAAGGTCTGAATTCAGCAAGCAAGTTCGGGAGGGATATGTCCGGCGCAGCTAGAAAGAAGAGCAGGTTGTCTGTGTATGCCACCACTTTATGGCATTGGGCAGCAATCTCTAAGCCCTAATGTTCGAATTGGAGCATATCGTTTGTAGGAGGAGTTCCAAAGTAAGGACAAAAATCAAAGGGGACAGCGGGCACCCCTGACGTGTACCGTTGGCGATAGGAAATGGTTCCGATAGTGATTCATTAAACTGAACCCATGCCAACGGTCGGGAATATAGGGACATCACCTAGGAGAGCATATGTGGACCCAAAACCAGGTGTTCTAGGGTCAAATGCATAAAGGACCAGTCTACCCTGTCCTGGCCTTCTCCTTGCATCAGTAGATAATAAAAAGGCTGGGGTTGCCCGTGACAGGGTAGAGTGCATGAGATTTAAGGCCCAGGAGGTGTTGTCCCTCGCCTCATGGGACAGGATGAAACCCGCCTGGTCTGGGTGTATTATGTCCCTAATATAAGGAAGGAGGCGCGTCGATAAGATTTTGGGGAACAATTTGGTATCGACATGGGGGAAATGGGGCGATAGCTCCGGCACACCAGCGGGTCATTTCCCGGTTTCGGGATCACCGTTATGTGGGCGGAGAGTGAATCACCAGGCAATTCTCCCATTTTCCGTACCAAATCGAGTGCCTGTATAAAATGGGAGATACGAATAGGGGCATATTGTCTGTAGTATTGCAGGGTGAACCCATCAGGGCCAGGGGCTTTACCTGATTGTGTCTGTTTTAAGGCATTCTCCAGTTCGGTTTCAGTGATCGGACCTTCTAATAGGGTGACAACCTTGTGCGGAAGGGCGGGAAGGCCAGAGGAGGCTAAATATGCCCTAACACGGGAGAGGCGCTCCGTTACCCCCGCCGCCGAACGCGGTTGCGGGAGATTATAGAGAGAGGAGTAGTAAGTACGGAAGTTCACCACTATATGGGAGGAGAGGTGTAACAGGAAACCAGAGGGCGATTTTATAACTGGAATAAAGGTTTTAGATCTCTGTTGACGTAGGGCATGGACCATTGATCTGCTACATTGGTTGCTGTGCTCGTAGAAATGTCTCCGGCATTTAGCCAGCATCGCTTTAGCTCATTGCAGGCACAAGGAGCGAAAGGAGTCTCTTAGCAGCGATAGTTGGACCGAAAGAGCGGAGTCAAGGTCACGTTTATGATGAAGTTCAAGAGCATGGAAGAGCAAGGACAACAAAGAAGAAATCTGTTGGAGGCGTTGGCGCTTGACCCGTGAGCCCAGGCTGATCAGAGTGCCCCTGATATACGCCTTATGTGCTTCCCAAATCGAATAACAGGAGCAATCCGAGGCAGAGTTCAGAGCAAAGTATGTATGCAGGTCCGATGCAATCATAGTCTCGTTCAAACGCCAATGCCATGGTCTTATCTCCGAAGAACCCACTACCAGATCGATCGTAATCGGGGTGTGATCAGAGATGAAAATTTTACCAATAGCCGACTGAGAGATCCCACTACCAAATTGATCGTAATCGGGGTGTGATCAGAGATGAAAATGTTACCAATAGCCGACTGAGAGATCAATGTGCATGTACGTCTGTTGTGCATATGAAAAAAAGGAGTAATGCCTGACCGAGGGGTGGTGAATTTGCCATACATCAGAAAGTTGGTTGGGCATGGAGACACTGTTTAATACGGAGTATTAAACGCCTCATTAGACAGATGGGTCGCCGATCTGGAGGAGTCCAGCTTAGGATCTAACAGGAGATTGAAGTCTCCCCCAATAACCAGGAGACCCTCCCTGAAGTCGTCTATCCCTGTCAAGATACTTTCCAGATCCTTTCCGCAATGGGGGCCGCAGCTCTCTCCATGCTGCCCCCTCTCAGGAGGGGAGTCTAGGTCAAAGACAGTCCCCAGGGGGAATCAATGCCACGTGAGCACTTCAATTTCAACCTCAATAAATGGCATGGGTAATTACCAGTGGGTAACTCCCTCTTGGCAGGCAAAACGAC